TCGTTTTTCAATGTTATAATATAAAAGTCATTCATTTGTGAATAATTCCTGTTGAACATCGAAAATCTTATCGATGGAAATACAGCACATTCTAATAGAATGATTATTCATATTTATTATGCAGCGACGATAATTTAGCTACTTGCGAAATGTTTTTGTAGAACGATTCCGTCGATTCCATACGTTGATAGGTCCGCGTATCTAGTAGATTTTTGAAGGTTTATATTTTTAATCATAAAATAATAATTATTGTAACTTATAATTGAAAAGTAAAGTACATACACGGTGACATTTTAAAAACTTACAATGGCTTTATCTCAGGAACCAGAAAAAATATAAAAAATCGCTAAAAAAATTTTCTATAGTAGGGAGGGGGAAACAAAATTATGCAATAACTTACTTGTTCTCACTCACCCCCACACCGCCAGCCACCCCAACTTAATAACCTAAAATACCAACCCCCTACTTGTGATACCTTATCTAAAAGCTCTTTCAATGGTATCCTACAAGCTAGGATTGGATGTTATAATTGTCAAAATATAACCATTGAAATTTGAATTGAATTTTAATAAACAAACATTTAATAACATTTTTGTCACTATCGTTGCAATAATCTTGAGGTTTAAATATTTTAAGCTTGTATTATTTTGGGTTAATTCGTTATTTTGGGAACCTGAAAAAATTGACAAATCCAAAAAAATACAATTTTAATTTAATTGAATGAAGTTTTATTTACCTAATAAACCAAAAACTATCTCATCGAATCCTAGCTTGTAGGGTACCATTGAAAATCATTTTTTAAGAGCTTTCAGATAAGGTATCACAAGTAGGGGGTTCCCATTTAGGATTATTTAGTTGGGGTGGCTGGGGGTGAGGGGGTAAGTGAAAACAGATTGGTTATAACATCATTTTGGTTCCCCCTCCCTACTATAGAAATTGTTTTCAGCGATTTTCTATTTCTTTTTTTGCTTCCTGAGATATAGCCATTGTAAGTTTTTAAAGTGTCACCCTGTACAGGGTGGGCCAAATTGGACACTTTTAATTGGAAACATCAATTTCTGAGCGAGATACATACTGAGGCTCAAGTTTCATGAAATTTTGATTGGTGCAAACCGCATTTTGATATCTTCAACCGTTTAGCCGCTAGAGGGCGATTCTCGATTTTGAGCAAAAATCTGAAACCTTCATAACTTTTTTGTTTATGGAAAAAATTGATTTCCGTAAAAACTTACTGGAAGCACTTTTCTAAGCATAATTCAGTGACGTTCTCAGTTTTTTTCTAGTTGGTCCCAACTTCGAGATATCGACCAAAGTCTGGTTTTTTTCAATAGGACACCCTATAAATTAATAGCTCATTAGAAAGCTCTGCCTTTTCTGATTTCAATGATGTAAAGTTCGATAGGTTTATCTCTAACAGTTCTTCAGGAAAAAAATTATTTCGGTTTTTGTCATAAGAAGCAATGTGTTGGAAAGAGACCTTTCTCAGTTTCCTTACAGATATAAAGTCCTATTCTTACACATTGCTTCTTATGACAAAAACCAAAATAATTTTTTTTTCTCCAAAACCTATCGAATTTTATATCATTAAAATCAGAAAAAGCAGAGCTTTCTAATGAGCTATTAATATGTATAGGGTGTCCTATTAAAAAACACTAGACTTTGGTGAATATCTCGGAGTTAGGACCAATTAGAAAAAAACTGAGAACGTCACTAAATTCTGCATGAAAAAGTGCTTTTAGAAAGTTTTCACGGAAATCAATAATTTTCATAAACAAAAAAGTTATGATGGTTTCACATTATCGCTCAAAATCGAGAATCGCCCTCTAGCGGCTAAACGGTCGAACATATCAAAATGCGGTTTGCACCAATTAAAATTTCATGAAATTTGAGCCTCACAGTGGGGGGTTCATTTTTTTTGTATCTCACTCAGAAATTGATGTTTCCTATTGAAAGTATCCAAATTGGCCCAACCTGTACATATATGGCAGCGAGTAATTTGAAAAATAGACGATCAGTTGTACAGGGTGATCCAGTATAAAATGAACACCCCCTACCTTTCCACTAAAAAACTTATTTTTGAAAAAATCAAAATAGCCATTTAGTCTATTTTGTGTCTAGGAATTTGAAAACATGTTTCGAAATTCAATTGGATTTTATGTCAAAGCGCTGTGACGATAAAAGTTATTTTTTTAAATGGAATAACCTATATTTAAATTTAGTTTTTACACGCCCCTATTTTTCTCATTTCAAATATCTATAGTTTGTTATTTTAGTAATTTGCGATGTAGGTATTCTCACTTGAGATTCAAATAGAAATAGCAGAAAAGGTATCAAGGTGAATCTAAATAATTTTACTTTAACTAAAACTGCTGGTTATTATATTTTATGATACCTTTTCTGCTATTTTTATGTATTTTGAAGAGAGAATATATCGCAAATTACTACAGTAAAGATTAAAAAAATCATATATATTTAAAATGAGAAAAATAGGGGCGTTTAAAAAATAGAATCAAATATAGGTTTTTCCATAAGAAAAAAATATTATTTTTTTTTTGTCACAGCACTTACACAAAAAATCTAATTGCATTTCGAAAACGTTTTCAAATTCCTAGAAACAAAATTCACCAAATACCTATCTTGATTCTTTCAAAAATAAGTCTTTTAGCGGAGAGGTAGGGGGTGTTCACTTTATACTAGATACCCCTGTACATTAAGTGGTACAAAGTACCATGTTTTTTTGGCATTGAATTTAAAAAAAAAAAAAAAATAGGTCTATTCAGGGCTCTCTCACTAATTTTTGAAACTGGCATATTCGGATAACGCAACTAAAATAATAATTCTCAGCGTCCTTACTTTTCACGAACAGTGCTTTTTTTTTATTTTAAAAAATAAAAGAAAAACGAAAATTCCTAAATAAAAACACGTACTTCATGCCTTATATGTCGCGAAAGGCAATTTGCCAGTGTTGCCACTAATTGTCAGCATTAAAAATTTGTAATAGGTATGTACATAGTTTTCATTCCAAAATGTAAGCAAAACAATAGTTAAATAATTCGTGGTTTTTGAAATAATTGGGAAACGTTCAAGTTTATTTATTTATTTCACTCTTTAAAAATACAAAAAATAAATAAACTTGACTTAAACTTAAACTTAAAAATATGTTTTATATTGTTTTAATGTTTTTTTTTGGCGACGCAGTAGATTTCTAGACAAAACAAACAACAACAACAAAAGCGCAATAAAACCAGCTCATTGCGTTTTGTTGTCGCTCCAGAGCACGATTCTCACATTTACTTGGTTGGAATTCTTCTTAAACCGAGTTTCACAATTGGTGTTAACCTGCAATGGCATCCAAATAACAACTTCGCTAAATAAAACGTGAGTTGAGTGACCTGAACCTTGACCAAAGGTTTTGGCTAAACCAAACAATATGAAGCAGATAAATCCGGGTTTATTATTGTTTTATGACGTGTGGTTACCGCCCCCTCATTCGTCAACGCCTGGCGTGTTTTAATTACTCTAAATTCTTCCAATTTTGAAATGCCTTTAGAAGACTTATTTACCATCATGGATTTTATTTTTTTTGGATAATATACTCCAAATAGTCGGTCGTTTAAGTTTTTATGCTTAAATTAAGTATTTAAATTTTAGTGAAACATCCCATAACATGCTGATTCAAAACAGTGTGGCGATAACAGAAGTGACATTCTTGAATAGCAATCCCATTACGTTTTAGAATTTTCAATTTCTCTGAATAATTCTCTATGAGACATACTTAGAATTTCGTATGCCTATTGGCGGCTTCATAATTTTCTAGAAGGTTTTCCGTGTGGTCCCCAACTTGAAAAACTTCAAACGGAATTTCCTTCGATTTTCAAATGGAACACCTTGTATTAAATGCGTTCGATTCGTAGGGTTTTCCATCCTTTACAATTTCTGATAAAATGTTCCTATAGCTGTCTCATCTATTTTTGGCGTTATTTTATTTTTTATAAAATGGCATATTATGCTTTGCATTGCGTAACGAGGAAAATATCGAATTTTATGCATAATTCAGCAAACATTAAAATTATATCTAGGAGATAAAACAACACCAATTACATTTAGTACGGTCTTTGGCCACCGAGGATTGCTAGATGGCGCTACAAGTAGCACGCGCTTCGGAGATCGTGCATATGTAGTACCTCCTCTGACTAGCGAAGAATGCTATAGAGGGCGCTGCAAGTAGCGGGCGCTTGGGTCCTCGCAACAGTTAAAAATTACTTAGAATAAAGTAATCAAATACATGGTGTTCCATTCAAACTGGCAAAGATAATTAAATTCGAAATTTTTCAAGATGTCTTACCCATATAAGTATGGAAAACCCTACATAAAATTGTGGGGTTTGGATAAAATCAGATTTCCAACTCGGACACTCTCATTTATATATCCCTTAATCCTTGAGTCATATACAGAGTTTAGTGATGAACTCAGAGAGGTGAAAATTAACAGGGTGTACTATTCGAAAAAGTCATCTTGCTTATCGCCACGCCTTCTGGAACCAACCTGAATATTCAAACACGCAAAACTTCAAGTTGTTCGTCTTTAACCGGTCTTTTACTAAAGCTTTTATCTGCGATATTTCCACAAAATTTCAACACCAAAAAAGGCTTGTCCTTACTTTGCCACACTAAATGGCCATCCTGTTTTGCAAGACTGTTTTCAAAATTACTGTAAGCAAATTATTTTGTACTTGAGTAGCGATGATATGTTTATACTTTCTGCATAAAAAAATCATTATGTCAAAGGTTTTTTCCAAAGTGAGATGGACTACGCGTCGATCCACAGTACTTTGGGAAAATACTTGTGCAGTCATGACGGAGCTGGCAAAACGTATGCACAAAGTACAAAGCTTGCTTCTTGAGTTTTCCACATAACTAATAACAAAGTAATAATTATCTTATATTCTTTCAGGTTTATATTTTTTTTTCTATATTTAATTTTTCCTAATTTTTTTATAGAAGAAGCTGCCGCTATGAATGCACAAGATGAACAGGAAATTTGGGGTAAGATTTTTAAGAGAAAACTTATGAAATGACCTAGAACGTTATACCAGATAATAATAATAATGTTAAAGTAAAAAAGATACAAACATATGTATTTTTTTGTCAAATAATCATCTCACCAAGTAAAGTATCTTAGATTTTTTGATATCTAAGCACCATTGGCAAAAGAGTTCTTATTTTTTTATATTGAATTTTGTTTCAGATGCTGAATCATTCGAAGGCTAATTCGACATTTTTAAAGTTGTTCCTCTTGCAGCACCATAAATAATAATATTCATAATTGTTTATTTGAATTATATTGATTTCAATTCAATATAAGATTTTAAGGTACATATTTGTAACAACAGTAACAGTATCTAGCAGAATTAAAGTTGAAACTCTGGAAAGAAATAAACAAAGCCTCCACAAAATTTCCATCGTACGTGGGCTTATCCATTTCTAGTAGTTTTTCCCTAAAAATTCTAATAAAACCCGAATATACTAAAAAAAACGCACCTATTCAAATACAAACAATGGTGTGAAGTACTCTGTTTTAGAGGAAGACTATGGTGTTATTGGTGCTAACACTTTCTCAGGTTTGTTTTTTTGATTTTTTTTTCTTCACTGTTCCTTCTTTTTCTTTGTTTGATTTTCGTGTAGAGGAGCTCATTGGTTTAGCAATCTCGGTCTTTTTAAGATTTTGTACAACAGGGTGTTGTTTTACAGGTGTATTTTTAAACACTTCCTCTACCTCCTCTTCTCAGGAGCGCTGTTCCACCTACTTGTTATTTGATTTTACTCAGTAATATTCTTCCAAAGTTTCCACACTGTACTTCTCACTATTTACCTACAAGTAGATGTCATGCTTTGTTCCCTTTCCCTACTGTTACTTTTTTATGATTCACTAGATATTTTCTGATTCGTCTTTCTTGTAATAAGATCTTCTGATATACTTATATTTTTTCAACTTTTTGCAGTCCTTGAGTAGGTACTTGCGTTTTTGGTAAAAAGGAAACAAATTGCACTATAATGAGGCGTGGCTTATCCCCTTTGCCTATTGGGTAGATGTTACATGTTGCTAGTGTGATGTTTAAACCTAGGAGTGAATTCATGGTCGAAACGACAAATTCTGGGAGATTCACATCCTCATCATACTCTAGGTTCCACAGAATAATGTTGTTTTTCTTTACCGCCCTTTCCACAAGTTCATTGGTTTCTTTTTGTTTCGCTTCTCTTATCTCCAGTTCCTCTCTCTTCTTACTCTCCTGTTGGACAATTTTCTTAGCTTCTGCAAATTCCTCTTTAACTTTTCGAACTTCTATTGAATTTCGATTTTTAGAGTTGAGGCTTTTTCAGCATTTGATTCTTCTATAAATGCTCAAAGGCGCTTAAACAATTGATCGTTCTCACTCATAGTCAATTACTATTTTTTATGTTGTGTATGTATTCTTTTATTCAATGATAAATCATTCAATGGCGTGACGCGAGCGATAAAAAAAAAATCAGGCATATCGTCGCTGTCATCACGAAGTGGCCAATCTTTGATTTAACAACTTTTCAGGAGAGCGTTTTGAAGAAAACTCTACTGTTCATTTTGTCTAGCATCAGAACTTGTTTTTTCATAGATAACACAAAAGTACCTATACTTAGAAGATTGAGACATATCTTTTTTGAAAGAAAAGATTGGACTTTTTCTGTAAATAAATTATTAAGAAGATAGGCCCGTTCGTAATAACAAAAACAAATATTTGGCTGGTTTACAAAGCAGATGTGCCGCTAAAATTGAATAATGGCCACACGGTGTATTATGGAGATATGCCAGTTCGTCACAACATAGATATGGTTCTTTTGATTATTTTTATGGGAATAACTCATTTTCGCCAAATATTGAGATAGGCCCCTTCGTACTGACAGCGACGATATGTTTACGTTTCATTTACATATCAGATTTTTCAATATGCAAGATAGGTACCTTTGGCGGAAAAGCTTATATGTCTGCATGCGTTTTTCTTTACACTACACAACTGTATAATTTCTATAAATTCAAAAAACATTTTCCTTGCCATCCAAATGACTTTCAACTTCTTCTCTGTTATGTGCGGATCCACTACCTAGTTATTTGTGCTTCCTTTTTCAGTATGAGAAAGTTATTCGATATAAGTTATATCGCAGATTTCTATGTTTTTGCGTCTTTGACAAAAATATTTGGCCTTTTTTCTGATTTTTCTTTTTATCTCTAAATTAAAAAGTTTATAGCAAGTCCTATAAAAGTTTTTCAATTTTTTTTTTATTTTTTTTTTATTTTATTTTTTTTTTAATTTTTTTTATTTTTTTTATTTTTTTTTTCGTTTTTTTATTTAATATAGATGCTGCACTCGATGCTGCATTTGACGAATATTATGATTCCGGGTCAGAAAACGAAGATGGCCATGGTAAGTCCATTTTCTATCATTTATTTTAAAACATGTGTACGGTAATCTCGATAATTTTTAATTTTTTTTTTTTATGATTGCACGCAAAGAGAAATATTTAGTTATTTTCTTTTTTTGCTTGAGGCTAGGTTCACTGGCTTTCCTCGCCTTTCAACTTCTCCTCTAGTAGATGCATGCTGGTTCACTTCTCTTTCGTTGTGCTTTCATTTCAACATCTTTCATGAGCAAACAGTTCCTCCAGATTTTCTTTTGTATTCTTATAAAGCAGTTTTAATATCCTTGAGAAAAATAACTGGCATTCTTTTTTTCGGTTGTTCTTATCTATGATTCTAGAGCTAGTCTCATTGAATTTTTTTTTTAATTCATGCTTTTCTGAAACTTATCCAGATAATTCTTGGGCTGATGATTTTGATGGCAAAATGGGTTCTGTTGTCGGTAAGTTTATTTGTGATTTTTGTTATAATATTACAAAAATGTATTATTTATGCATGCGCGCGAAAAAGGTAACTATGTTTTATTTTTGAGGCTTACAGAATTCTTTCAGGGACGAAAAATCATTGAATTTGTGTTAATAGAAACTAATGTGTAGAAAGTGAATGAGTGCCAGAACATCGAATTAATACAGGGTGTGCCACATTCATTCGCCACCCACTACGAAACTTCTTTCACACCATGCTCGAGAAAATGCTGAAAGAAACGAGACACATGTATCAGCGAAAGAAGCTCGAAATTTGAAGACGCTGGGAATTACCTACCACACAGAATCGTCAAGAGGATGAACGGTGCATAGAAGAGGTCATTCACGTAGAAATATTGGGCCTATTTAATAGTGGCAAGAATACTCCTACTTGAATGCGATTAGGAGAAGCTGGTTTGGGCAAACAGCTCTAAAGCTTCATACAGACCTGAACGTTAGGTACGCCGAACAACAAACAGAACAACGAACCGAACGACGAACGAATTACTAATGTGGATGGGGCTACGAACGCATTTACAAATAGGTTCGCAGATCCTGGCCGTTCGTAGCCCCATTCACATTAGTTTGATTTGTTATTCTGTTCGTTGTTTGGCGTAATGTTCAAGTGTGTACGAAACTTAATGCTTCGTAATACATAGATATGGACCACCAACAGAAGACACATAAAAAGCCTAGAAAAATACTAGCAGCGATGCCCAAGCAGGATCCTATGGATTAAATGACAAGACCGACGAACGAACAGTAGTGTTTTAGAGGAGGCCAAAACAATTAGCATCGAAGCCCTCATCATTGATCAACGTGTCGCTGGACAGGTCACCTCGTTCGCATGCCCGAAACACGTCTTCCACGACAGATTCTCTACAGTCAAAAAAAAAAGACGAAACATTATCAAGGAGGACAACAAAAACGCTAGGAAGATGTTCTGGAGGAAAATATGGCAAAGCGCCGCATCGATACCAGCAACTGGCTGAAGACGACGGCAAATGATAGGCCCTCACGGCCGGCGTCAAGTTGTCCACGATGAACCACAAATTTTTGAAGAACGACGACGAAGACACGTGACCTAAAAGAGGGACCGCAGACAGGAGCCAGAGAACAATGCTGCCAGAGACTGGGTACTCGGTATCGAGTGATCGCCTATCATGTGTCCAAGTTCAAGTCTCTACGAAGCTTTAAAAAGGTTGTATAAATCATACGGAATGCGACGTTACCAGATTTTCATTTTCCCAAATTTAGCAAAATGGTGCGAAATGTGGCGTCACCGCATGGGGGTCCCCAGGTTTATCAGAACTTTTGAGAATGGAATATAACTTCCATGAAATATTCTAATGAATAATGCAGCGATCGAGATTTATTGATGTTTATCAGAAATTCCTACTTAGAAGAAATTCTCTAGAAAATAACAGACCGATCAGATGTCTATGAAAGGAGTGACTAGTTAAATTCCGGAAAATCAATTGATGAAGGTCAGTCATAGTGATAAAGTTTTGTGAAGAGCCCAATTTGAGTGATTCGCAGTGTTGTGATAGTTTTGTTTTGATTTTTGTGTTATTGTTTTAAATAAAGTTTTATCAGAAATTCCTAGAAGGAATTCTCTAGAAAATAACAGACGAATCGGATGTCTATGAAAGGAGTGACTAGTTAAATTCCGGAAAATCAATTGATGAAGGTCAGTCATAGTGATATAGTTTAGTGAACAGCCCAATTTGAGTGATTCGCAGTGTTGGGATAGTTTTGTTCTGATTTTTGTGTTATTGTTTTAAATAAAGTTATTTATCAATAATATGAGTAATCTTGTTATTGTTTGACATCCTTTTTGAGTCAGTTAATGTTGCTAATTTTTTTATATTTGTATAGATTCCGACGAAGGAAGAGATCTTCTAGAAGAAGAAATTGTGCGTCCTCCAGGTTAGTCTATGCATTAATTTTTTTTAATCTTATTTTTTTGTTCAATATACAGGGTGTTTAGTACATCGATAGGAAGTTTTCAACGAGTGATAGTTGGGGTCATGTGGGAGCTGTTTGACCACCTTTACCCTTATGCAAAGTTTCGTCGTTTCTGAGATACAGCATTTTTAGATATTTTTGGAAAATATTTGAATTGTTCCTAAAACTTTTGGTAGTAAGCTCTTTAACCAAACTACAGGAAGGAGCGTTTTCTATCTGTCACTACAGGCCACGCAGGGACGGAAACGGCCATATTGAGCCTCCAAGTATAACTCATCATTTGTTTTGGTGGTTCGCTGTGTACTCATTAACGTGGATGTTAAATGGATTTTCGCAGTTTTGAGTGATAATAAGTACTGAGTGTGGTTTAATGTAAATACTTTTTTGTCTTGTCATAATATTGAAAATCATATTTAAATAAATATACGCCACTACCAAACCGGAAATACTAGTCGGCCATATGCAACCTCCATATATTCTGGTCGCGCAGATTCGAGGTTATGCTCCTTCCTGTAGTTTTATATTCAGAGGTTAAAATACATGGAATCAAAATATCTAAAAATGGGTATGTCTCAAAATCGATGTACCAAAGCACCTGTATACATGCAAAACACGTTTTCCTTTTGCTTGTCACTTTTATTGTGTATTTAAATTATTTATTTTGTTTATTGGTGTGTTTTATATTGCAGAACGCCCCTCTGCGCCTGCACCAGCAGCAAGACTTGGTAAGTATTCTTTTCACAAATTTATTTGAATTTTTATTGATTGTCTTTTTTTCAAATCTTTACTGTTTCTTTTGGCACGGCAATGCTTATTTTGCAGCAGAATATGCTCATCAAGCTAGGTCCAATAATAACTTATTTCACACCTCTTATGGGTTTTTGGTTTTCTGTCAAACTCAATGAAATTTTGATATGTGTTAGACCTTGACTTCCTGATAAAAAGTTCTCATGGGCCCGAACCAATCCTATGATTAGTTTTTGAGTTACAGGTACTTTTATGTCTAAGAAATGTATACATTTTATATGTATTCACATCTACCTGTCACCTAATAATAGGTCTGTTTCTGCAAAAATCACAAACTTGTCAGAGCGAATTTGATTGGTCGAAAACAGTCAGAAAACTAGTTACAACCAATGAAATTCACTCTGACAGACCTAATAATAGGTGACAGGTAGATGTGAATGCATATAAAATGTGTACATTTCTTGAACATTAAACCACCTGTATTTCGAAAACTAATCATAGTATCGGGTTGGGCCCATGAGAACTTTTTATCAGTAATTCAAGATATACTACATATCAAAATTTTATTGAGTTTGGCAGAAAACCAAAAACCCATAAGATGTGTGCGGGGTCCTTTGCATTGCGTCTGCCACCTTTGAAAGACTGATTGAGTTAGTTGTGCGAGAACTCTCTCTGGAATCACAACCTATTTCAGGACAAAGTGAACACTTCGATGTTTGTGAATCAGCACTAGTAAAACTAGTATAAATTGCGACTCCTCTTATTCCGTCTTCAAGAAGTTCTCAAAATAAATTTGCTATATACCACTGATGGTCATTTGTTTGGTTGTTTGGTAATCCATTTATCATCAACGATAAGACCCGTTTTTCTCATAGCTCGACCAGTTTTTTCTCATGCATATCGATTCTTTGACAATGTTTGCAGTCTTCTTTGCATGCAGATTTCCAGGCCGATATTTAATTTAGAAATCGTATTGCTGCAATTTCTTAATCCATCTAGCAAGCTGTCCTTCAGGAGTTTTCATTTCGAACAGCCATTTTAGAGCTGCGTGATCCGTTCGAATTAGAAACTTACGTCCATAGAGATATCTATAGCAACCAACTCTCTTCTGATGACACAATAATTTCGTTCTGGCTTTGGTCTGCTGTAGTACTCTACAACATGCTCTTGTGAATTTTGAACTTGTGCAACCACAGCTCTAATACTGGTGTTGCTTGCATCTGTATCCAAAATCAACATGCCTCTCTGATCGGGATAGGACCACACTGGGCTCGTACCTAATGCTGCTTTCAATTTTCTGAAAACGGAATCGCATCCTTGGGTCCAATTAAATGTTGATTTTTCTTCCGTTAATCGATGAAGCGGAGCAGCTACATTGGCTTATCCTTCCACAAATTTTCGATAATAAGAATATAGTCCTAGAAAACTCCTTAGTGCATGTTTGTCGCGCGGTTTTCGCCAATGTCTGACAGCATCTCTCTTTCCTTCCATAACTTGTTTACTATCTGCAAATACCACGTGACCTTAGAATTCCACTTTCTTTTGAAATAGAACACACTTATTTAGATTTAGTTTTGAATTGGCATTCCGGAAGCGCTCAAAAACTTCTTTCAGGTTATTGAGATGTTCTTGGAAGGAATTTCCCATGACCATGACATCATCCAAATATACCAGACAAGGTCTTCATGTAAGGCCTTGCATCAGTCGCTCAAACGCAGCGGGAGCATTACACAATCTGAAAGGCATTACGTTAAACTGGTGTAACCCGCTTCCGGTACTGAAGGCAGTTTTCTCTTCGCCATCTTTGTGTATTTCCACTTGCCAGTGTCTATTCTTAAGATTCAAGGTGGAAAGCCATTTGGAGCCCGCGATGTAGTTGTTAATGTATCGTCTATCCCCGGGAGAAGGAGGCTGTCTTTCTTGGTGACGTCATTAAGCTTACAGTAGTCCACACAAAATCTAAGACTTCCATCTTTTTTTTTAACCAATACCACTGGGGCAGACCACGGACTATTTGACTCTTCAATAATTCCCTTTTCAAGCGTTTACCACTTCATGTTGTTTGGCTACTGGCATACTTCGAGGTGGTGATCTTATTGGGTGTGCCAATCCAGTATTAATTTTGTGTTGAATTAAACTTGTCCGTCCGGTTTGATTATCCATCACAAATACGTCTGCTTCTTTCAAAATGAAATCTTTGGCTTCTTGAAGTCTATCTGGGTCGAAGTGTTTCCATGATTTCTCCAAAGTCTGCAAATGTCGCTTATCTGGTCACAGTTCGATATTTGCTTAACTGGTTTGAGAGTGCCAATAATATCTCCTTCCTTTATTTTCACTGTTTCAGAAGAAATATTGGCAATTCTTTTCATAATGTCGCCATTTGTTCTTACTAGAGTCTTTCCAACGGCAAATTTTTCTGGTTTATCTCCAATAAAATTGAGTGTTAGTCCAACGCAGCACCCAGGGTTTGTTTCCAATTTTCCGCAAATGATCTTCTCAGTACTTCCAGGAATCCTCACCGGGTTTGTGACCAGGATCTTAACGGCTGAGATTCTTCTTGTGTAGTTGGGACAAATTCTTCATTACCAAATTTGAGTCATAGAAGGATCAAAAGAGAAACCATGTTGGTCGATCAAATCCACTCCTAATGTAAAATGTGCCTAAAGGTGGTGGATCCAAAAGTGAGCTCAACCATAGCTTCTCCTTGAACTGGTGCTGATTCTCCCGTGGCTGTTCTTAGTGACAGGTTTCTAGTGAGCGGTTGGATTTGTAGACACTTCAGCAACCGTATCAAAAGTGATAGTTTTAAATTCTCCAATAATTTGTCCTTCGAATTTTAATCCTCTAAAATGACTGCTCAATGATTTTATGTGAACCACCCTGGGGGCTTCGTCATTACTAACCAGCACCCGCCCCTCCGTACTGGTTAGTTCCTGTCTGTAATAGGGTGGGTGTCTCTAGATCTTGGAAATAATTGGGAACGATCCCTAGATGGAGAGGACATCCTTACCCTACAATCCCATTGCATGTGTCCAAGCTTATGGCACCGGTAACATTCTACTCGGTTTCTTGGAGTTGGCGTTCGTTTGGAATCGTTTTCCGTTTTTCTACCTTCTAGTAGTAGTTTATTCATTTGCTCCATGAAATTACTCTTAACATTCTCGAAACTACCGTCCTGTTTTGACGATTGTTTAGCCTTTGGGTCTTCCACTGAAGACCCAAAGGCTGCTCATATTCTGGGTCGTGAGGCACCAAAGATTGCTTCCTATTCCAATGCTCGGGCAAGAGCTTCGCTACTGTTCCTGAACTTGAATATTTTCTGGTTTTCCTGGATTTTGGAATCTCTGAAACTATCAATAAACGCAGATACTGCCATCCATTCCTGTATGTCTTCCCCAGCTGCAGGAAACGCCAAACTCACCAGCCCTTTAACTTCTGATCCGAATTCTTGTAAACTCTCGCCGGGTTTTTGAATTCTTGATTTAACTTGAGCTCTAAATGCTTCTCGTCTGTAATGGCCTCCGAAGCGCAATTCTAACGTCTGACTTACATGCTGGTAATTCTCTTGGTAGATTAAAGGAATGGACTGAAGAAGATCTAAGAGTACGCACACAAAGAAAGCAGGTTGCCTGCTTGCTGGTAACAAGGGCTTATAAGAACCAATTATTGAATCCATGTTTAAATACACCCGCACACAGACAAAGCAGATCGGTGCTTGTTGCTAGTGCAGAAATTTGTAGTTCTTGGTCGCTGGTCGGAGCTGGACGTGCATCGATAATGGATGTCGAATCACTGACTCCGGCGATTTTTCAAAGAAATGCATTGTGGGACAAACTACTTAATTTCCACAGCAACCGGAATATAGTGCAGCAGGAATAAATGGTGATATTCTCCATGAAGTTTTCGTTCACGATTTACTGGATGTATACCTTGCTTCGTGCGTTGTATCATCCTTAGGAATGTATCTTCCTCCATTAAAAAGTCTTCATCTGAAGATGAACTAGACATCTTTGTAGCATGGAAGTTGCGTCTAAACTGGCCGAAAACCGGCGTTCATTGTATACTAATGAGATGACTTTTCGGCGTCGGAAATAGGCGCTGATTAACCTGCTGGAACCGTCAAAAGTTGGTGATTTTATCTTTACACTAGAGAATGCTCCAACACTATACCTGGATTGATAAACTGTGTTTCTAATTAATTTACCTTATCTTCAAGTGCTTGAACTTGGTCCTCAACTTCTTGCCTAAATTGCTGAACATCGTCTTTACCTTCGGCTTTTACTTTCTCAATCTCTTGTTCTAGGTTAGAGACAGTTCCTTCTATGGCTTGAAATATTTTCTGCAGTTTTCCAAGGTCTTCTTGTCATTCTTGTTGTCGCCTAGCCTCTTCTTCTTGTTTTTCTTTTTGTCGTTTAGCTTCTTCTTCTTGTTTTTTTTTTGTCGCTTGACCTCCTCGTCTTGTTTTTCTTGTTGTCGTTTAGCTTCTTCTTCTTGTTTTTCTTTTTGTCGCTTGGCTTCTTCGTCTTGTTTTTCTTGTTGTCGTTTGGTCTCTTGAAGTTCCAACATTTTGCGCAGAAGTTTTTCAATTTTTTGTTCTTCTATTTTTGCTTGTAGTCTCGTAATAGGTATATACAGAATGTTCTGGAATTTTCCTCAAAATTTCTCCAAATATCCTTCCTGATTTTCGATTGAAGTTTCAAACACTTCGATAAATTCACAAATTGGATAACTTGCTTTATTCTCGAATATAATGTTCTAGAATTTTCTTGAAATGTCTCTTATGAATGTCGATTGATATAACAAACACGTCGGTGAAGTCACAAATTCGATATCTTCCTTGGTTTCCAAATAGAATTTTCTAGAACTTACTTGAAAATTCACTATCACAGTCTAATTGGGTATGCAGTCACTTTCGGGGTAATTTACACAATCGGTTAAGTCTCTTTTTGTTATTGTCACTGCTTACACTGACTAACTGTCCCAGTGTTCACTCAGTGTCCACACTAGTGTTCGCAGTAGTCCGCACTATTCCGCAATCGCATTTCACTTTGCAGTCCTCGAATTATATCTCACTTCTGACACCAATGTCACGGCTCTGGCGTGCGTCACAGAAATCTTGGGTTCGTTTATTTCAAAATCAAAGTCCAATTAACACAACAACGTTAATACACACTCTGACACTTATTACTTCACTAATTAACTCGAACTTTCACAATAATCACTATCTAAAACGTATTACAGCCAATCTTAAACTTAATAACTACTAACTTGTATCGGCTTTTATATAGCTGTAATCCATTCGTGTAAAATCCAGAATAAACTCGATAATCTCTTTGCCCGAATAAAGCGTATTTTCTAGATTTCAAGTTAAATTCTGTACTGTTTGGTGAAGGCGCCACCGTAACAATAATAATAAAAATAAGAATAACAATAAAGTTTTTGATGGTTTGAGTATTTTGTACCGCTAATTTCGAAACATTAATAATTATTATTGAACATTCCTTTCGAGTCAGTTAATATGTGCTAAATTTTTATATTTATTCGTACTTTCCTGTTATTGAGGAAGAAAATGATCCCTTACCAGATGAAGAAATGGGCCTTGCTCCAGGTTAGTTTATGCAATAATTTCATACATTTTTCATCAATGTGTATTGCTTGTCACACATCTAGAGCTTTCTAACTTCTAATGTGTATTTAAATTATTTATTTTGTTTATCAAAATGTTTTCTATTGTAGGGCGTTGCTTTAACGTTGTCCCAATTTCTACCCCAGTAAGACTTTGTGAGTTTGAATTTTTCATGTTGTTCAATTTTTTTAAATTCAAACTAATAGTTCACACAATTTGTCAGTGCACTTTCTTTCAAGCATTGTGGAGTGCTTTGAGCGCCAATACTTATCTTGCAGCAGAACGTGTTACCCCGGTCAGACCAATAACAATATTATTATTCAATTCTTGAAATTGTATGCTGTTTTAAATTTCCCAATCGGATGAAAATATAATTATTTCCTAAGTTGCAGTAAGAAAGATTTTCTTTATTGGTATCCTAACGTGTTCCACACATTATTTCAAGCTAAATCATTATTGTTATTGGTCACTGGCGACGTTGCCAGATTATTGCTTTTCCTATCTTGGCCAATTTGTCCTTAATCTGACATAGAAAGGTCGAAGCCTTAACAGAGATAGCACCTCTTAGAAGAGGCGATCTAGTTGTGAATCGGATTGTTGATCAATCCTAGCTGGAGTATTTTGCATGGTTGATTTCAAAATATTGATTATTTACATTTTTTCTCAACAAACTCAAATAGGTTTGCTAAATATTGACTTAGGTAAATTTCTTTAGATACTATCCCAGAAGAAACTGAGCCTGATTCAGGTTAGTTTATCCAATAATTTTTTTTCTATTATGATTTTCGTCTTTCTTTCTTCCTTTTTTGTGTCGTTTAATTGTTGTTTGTTTATTCGCCTTTTTTAGGTTTGGTATTATTTGCTAATCATTAATATTTTTTTTTTTTAGAATCTCAGCTTGTGAACGGCATTGATGAATCCAATATTGCTGGTCCAAGTGAGTCCAATCATTATTTATTTCCAAAAATTGTCTGCTTACCAAAACTTTTCCGCAGTTGGATCAAAATATTAACTTCTAAAGTTGTAGAAAGAACGAATTTTTTCACTGACCCGCGTGGTAAGGTCACTAAAGAAATTCGAAATTTGTTGGGACTTAAAATTGTAAAAAGTATTTCCTTTATTTATTCTTGTGTTTGTTATTGCAGGCTGCCGCCGCTCTGTGAATGGCCCATCCGCGGAAGTATTCTCCAATTTCCGTCAACCTAGTGAGTATTTTTCTTACTGTTCTATTTTCTGTGGACTTTTTATGTCACAATTATTTTTTTCTCCTCTTTTTAGTTTTTCAATGTTTGGTTATCATTTTTTTTTTTCTAGGACCGACTGTTCCGAACGGTCGAGCGGTTTTCGCAGGAGGACGAGGTGTTTTGGGTAAGTCCCATAACTGAAATTTATTATAATGCTATTCGATTTAATTTAATTTTTTTCCTTGCATTGTATCTGGAGCGTGGTTCATTTTAAAATGTACCTATTTCAGTTTATTAATGTTTCGTTTCACAGCGCGTCCTTTTGAAAACGGTGTTCTGCCGTCGTTGCCGTCATTGATGATAGCTCTAGAGGGCATATGTGAGTATTTTTTTTAAGTTGTTGGGTAATGTTTGCTTGATATATATTTTTTTGAAGCATCTATTGCTGCTTCAACCAGCCGTCGTTGTGCCAATTCTGGACGTCCTAACCTGGGTAAGTCCACTGATAATTAATTTTTGAAAAAATTTGTAATTTTTATTGATTTCTTGTTTCATGTCAATGCAGAAAACGCAGTTATTACATCTCCTTTGGCTGTGAGATCCCAGCATGAATCTGGTGAGTAAATCTACTATTTTGTAAAAAAAAGGAGTAGAAATCACAGGCCTTAATAAATTATATTACTGCTTTAAATATTATTTTCGGTGGAAAGAATAATAGTATTTTGGACCATAGGTCGTGATTTTTACCCCTGCTAAATCATCAGGGAATGTGAATTAATTAATTTCATTTCCAACGCGAAGCCGCTGGTGATGTAGAAGCTCGTGATGAGGCAAATGATTCTGAAGTAGCTATTGATGGAGCAGCTCATGATGGAGCCGTCGCTGATAAAGCAGCTGTTGATGAGGCGGCAAATGATGATGGAGCCGCTGATGATGAAGCCGCTGATGATGGAGCCGCTGATGATGGAGCCGCTGATGATGGAGCCGCTGATGATGCCCAGAAGGCTGATCATATTATAATCGAAATGCCCGAGGACACTGGTAAGTCGCTTGAAAGCGCTCATTCGTATTGAGTAAATAGATATATTTTCTTTCTTTCAAATAGAATTGGAAAATCTCTTCCTCGATTTGTCGATATTCCTTTGAAGTATCAGCCTCGTATCCTTCCCATTATATCTCCTAGATAGTCAAATTTTCGGGTTTTTATGATCCGGCGCTTTTCCCATTCTTCTCTTTTCTTTCTAATTGCTGTAGTGTCTAATCTGATTTAGACTGCTATGGGTGGATCGTGACTCCAGAGTTGTATGAGAATGATTCCTTTTTTCTCGGATGTACCAAGATGAGAATACTATTTCATCCAGGCTAGCTCTCATCACTCTTATTATAAACTCCTTTCTTCATCATCATGTCATCAAAGTCTTCACCTTCACCGTTTATATCGTTCTGGAGTAAGTGACGAAATTTACGAGTGCTTCTCTCAATATCACGTATGAGTATGTTACCCCATGTGAGAAGTCGAATGTCCCTTTTTCATTTTCCTTTCGTTGAATGATTTCAACAATTTTGATGGGGTCCATTAGGAGTTAGAAAATGTTTTTCAAATTCTTTGATCGACTTCCCATTTCCACTCCAACCGTGATTTTCTTATCAGCACATCTCTGCTACCCCCGAGCATGCAAAACTATTGGTATATTGATTTTCAGGCCTCTGGATATGTTTTCTTGATAAATTGTCAACAATAACTTCTTATTTTCGCAGAGTGTAAACAATTTAGAAACGCATCATTCGCATCCCAAGAAGCTGTAATGTTTGTTGAGGATATTCAATTTTTTTCCTACACCAATTGCTTGTTGTTATCAGTGAACTTTTTCCACAGCATTATACTGAAAAAAAAAACATTTTTTTTTTGAATCTCATTAGATTTACATAATCTTTTTTATAAATACTATTTCATAATTAATTGTAATTTACTTTGGTTCCAGATGATGACGACGGCGACGATGCTGTACTTCCAGTTAATGATGAGCAGCAAATCGAAATCGATAATAATTCATTAGAGGAAATGCTGTTACCGCCAGGGGGTAGAGCCTGGTACAGCAACAGAAAATGGTTGTATCTGTCATTGGTTTGCTTGGGATTTTCAGTGATGGCAGCAATTTTGATATTGGCCTTAACTTTCCTCACTGCAAAATGATACTTCTAAATATAGTTTTAAGTTAGTTTTCAGCATTTCGTCAAATTATAATCGTTATTTTAAAAAAAATTTAGTTAAGGTGCTACGTTCGAGATAGTTTTCAGTATTCCGTTAATACTTATCATAATCATTATTTTGAGGATTTTTTAGATAAGGTGCTGCGTTTTTTCATATTATATTATTTTTAGATGTATGTGGCTTTGGAATAAATAATAAAACTCTTATAAAGCGTGTTTCATTTATTTTTTTCCTTTTTCAAACTAAACGTCTTTCAAGTAGGGCTCAAAGATACTACCTTCAAACCTCTAGTACGACCCTGTTCATCGGATACCGGCCTCGATAATCAAATCAAATTATCCTGTAAAAATAGATAAATCATAAAATTAACAAATTACATTTCATGTATACCAAATTCAGGGAAAATCCATTCGTCAGAACACTGTAGGAAAAAATGAAAATGTAATTTGTTAATTTTTTTTGTATTATCCATTTTTTTCTGGATAATTTATCAATAAGCATTGATGCTGGTTTCACGTAGGGTGCTGTAAAGGGTAGTGTTTATGTATACTAAATTTAGGAAAAATCCATTTGTCGGAACACGGTTAAAAAAAACTTGAAATGCTATGCTGTCGACTGAAATTTGGGAGGGGGGTATGCCACAGCACTTATGCCCCATTGTGCGCTTCCACAAGAGGAGAGGTCATCCTGAGCTCGTCATCCAGCCTAGCGATATAATGTAGGCGATGACGTCGCCGAGGGCGGTGCCCCTGATCTCTTCTAGGGATAGGTACGATTGGCCTAATGTGCCTCTGCGTATTGGCGAAAGAGGAGTGCAGTCATAAAAAATGTACTCCATCGACTCTTCTTCTTGATTACAAGCCCTACACAAGGGGATACGGTGCTAAGATGCAACCTGAATAAGGCCTTAAGGCGTCTCCACTGGCTTCTCTAGTTTTACTGAATCCAGAACGGCAGACCTTGGATCTTGAAGCTGAACGACTGCGTAATCGGGAAGTGTTCTCTAAGGTAGTTTTCTTGACACCTCGGCCAATGTCACTTTTATGTACAACCAACACATTTAAACATCATTCCTGATACAATAATGGCGACACTGGAGACTTCAATTTACTGGTACTCTCATTTAGGTGCTTCGATGCTACATAGGGAGATTCAGCATCACAGGTTCATCAAACGCCATTTCCTTACTAGCGCAGCGGAGGGCGGAGGACGTATTTCTTGCTCATATAGTCGACAATATCTCTGGTCGGCGAAATGGTCAGCCCCACGAAGGGCTCCGGTCCAAAAGGCTCTAGCCTGGGCTGGGAATCTGTAACGGATAGAGATGGTTATTCCTATCGCTATGATACTTGCTGTCTTCTTCTCTCTTTTCGAAATCAATACAGAGGGGAGGAGATAGAGAAAATATATCTATTCGTTAGAGTCCCAGCCCTGGCCGCCCTCCTAGCCAGAGCATCGGGAGCCCGATTGCCTTTGCTGTGATCATGTCGTTTCATCCAGCTGACTACCCCCGTGCTTTTTATCGACGCATCTGTGAGAGTGCGGTGGCAATGTTGTACTAGTTCTGATGTGAGTCATCGTCCAGACTGGGCCAATAAAGTCTGTCTAACGCTATCGCGATGTTACTTTATCCCTATTGACGCCATAGAAAATTATTTCTATATCTAAGATAGACTAACCTCTGTTCATATGAGCCGCTTACGGGTGTAGGGCGTCAAGCTCATCTGGGTCCTTATTCTTGAGAAACAGGGGAGCAACGTTCCCAGGAGAACCAGTGTCCTGTCTTTGTTACTTATATATTATCATTTGCATATCATTATTGAGAAAGACAGAACACTCGTTCTCCTGGGAACGCTGCTCCCCTGCTTCAAGAATAAGGACCCAGAGCGCGAAATTTGCGCAGACGAACGTGCGAAAGTGCGGACGAAGTACTCCGGAGTAACTCAGGAATGCTCAAACTGTGGCACCCGAAACTGATGTCAAACTATACATTTGCCAATTTATCAATAAGGTACCAATTTACGTCACATTACGATAGCGTTGGACAGACTATGTACATTGTAGTTGGTGAGTGTTACCTCGGGCGGAGCTTGGTTCAGAATTTTTTTGCAGCTAGAATTGTTGGCTCAGACTTCACACTACTAAGGGCTGGTTTATTCACCTTCTGATAAACTGTCAGGTATGCGATCTGACGGATAAAAACGTAATATGTAATCCCATAGGTCTGCCATTTATCCGCCGCCCAATAGAATTATGGAACGGTAAATTTTTGGAGCAAGTTTAATTGAAGATGAATAAACCGGGCCGAAGAATTATAAAGAATTTAAGGATATGAATGACTTTTTATTATATTATGGCCTTTGCTGAGTATTTGATTAATACGATTGCTGTAAATTTACCCGAACTATATTTTATTTCAATATCTAAAATGTATTTATTATCACTTTTCTGAGTTTTAAAAGGTACCTTCCTCTACTACTAAAACATTTATAAGTTAAAATAATTATATTATATTTTGAAGTTCGAATGTTCATATTCAGCGAAACTTTCGGAGAACAAATCATTTTTATATTCTTGCACGTGCACGTCGGGTTCAAGGGGCCCTTCCTGGAAAAGTTTTTCAGTGGAAAAGTGCCTCTATATAGGAAGAGGGCCACCCTTTGAAAGAATATTCGGTTTTTGAAACCGATTAAATTTCTGCTTTATTCTTTTTATTTCGTTCTCATTGTGGCTTTTGAAATCAAATTTCGCGAAATGCTTGTGTTTTTGATGAAATCCGTTCCACCGGAAATTCTAGAGGTGTCTGAAATAAAATTGAAAGTATTAGGTAGGTATATGAAAATTTTTCAAATTTTAAAATCATTTTTCATTTTAACGTACCTAGGTAATAAGTATTAAGTATTCTCCTCTAAAAAGTTTTCATTGATTTACAAAAACTATCATTACTTAATCAGTTTCCTATGCCATTTATCAGCCTTTTGTTAAACCTTTTTGTTTCTGCTATACTAGCAAGTTTCTAGGAGGTTTCTCAGTACCTATTAGTTTCTTGACAGATTGGTGACCCGGCAACTGAGAATTTATTGTTATTGTGGCTCCTTATTTATTCTTGAAATAAAATTTTGATATTAGTCGGCTGCGATACCGTCTTAGTGAAGATTCTTGGCTTCGCTGGACAATCTTTGGTATAGAAGGTAAAAGTTTTCTTTTGACGTTTGGTCTACAGTTACAGTAGCTCTCGACTTGATAAGGTATAGAATGAATAAATGAATTAGGGGTTACACTGCGACCTGCATAGATCTATTGTAAGACTTCACACGGGCTTCCCTCGAACTTTCCTCTTGTTATGATGACAATGTCATGTTTTCATCGTCTTTAGAAGAAACGATGTGTGGCTTATTGGTCTGAAAGATTTGGGGCTGTCCCATCCTTCTTGCCTGCCTTTGGAATGAAAGTGACTCTTGCCCTTCTCCATAATCTTAGGTATGTATCCCATCGCGATACTGCTTCTAGTTATATCTACAAGGTGCGGCATGATCTCTTGACAAGGTAATGTAAAATTGTTCTACACAAGGGCCAACTACTCACTTCTACGTAGTGAAAAACCAAGGAAAAACCAGTCCTCATTTTATAGTAGGTAGGTACACCTAGAAGCGATTTGGAGCAATGTTTAGGTTCGAACAATCCGTAACAGTTGTCTCGGAGATTTATACTGATAGAAACATACTCGAGTAAAAACTGCGTTTGTCAGTTGAAAGTGATTGATTTGGTAGACTGAGTCTCGTTTTCGTTGTGGATCCTGGAGTGCATTGACGAGGTGCAAGGGTGCCGAGACGCGTCTGTCGTAATTGGATCTGTGGCGAAAACAAGATATGTGTTTGCCAAAATGCATTCTGATAATAATATTATTTTGATTTTTCTGCTTTTAATTTCAAATAAAATTACACATTGAAAAGTTTCGGCCATTGTTTGCCGTTTGTGGAAAGCAAGAATTTTTTAATTTGAAAATTAAAGCCTTACTTTTACATGGTCCCTTGTTTAAAGAAAAATCTTTATTTTAACTGGTGGAAAAGTTTAATTTCGGAATTGCTTTGGCAAAGAAAATATGGGCATAATTAAGGCATTATAAAACAAGAGCAGAAATCAGTTCTCGCGGGTGTTATTAAATAAAAATTCGCAGTTGATCAAGTGTTTGTAGATTTTTCGCTGAAAACTTTGAAGAGACTATGCAAAGTACATAACGAATTTAAAGCCTAACAAATTTTAAGTTTTTAAAACTGAAGAATATGACGCTACGCTAACGAAATAAATTTAAGGAGGACATCGTTAGATTATAATTTTGTAGCTCTAGGGGTCTTTGAATTTAATTATAATGAGTAGTGACTGAGATGAAATTATGCCCAGACAATAGGGATCTTGATTATGCCTTAGGAGAAACGATCCTAAATATGACTTTGCAATACTATTTTTTATTGAGTAATGATGCTTTGACATCAAATTCACTGCAATTATTTCAATCAATTATTGCATTAAGTATTCGTGTGTGATACCAACATCATTTAACATCTTGATGCAAGGGTTTTTAGGACCAATAGCCAATAGCAATTGGTACACAAGCTCACTAGCAAGTAAGCTTGTGTTTAAATCAAATCCTCCAGAATAGTTATTTAATATGCCTTAGTAAGGAAACATGACTCATAGTTGGCTTGAATACGAAGTCTGTTACATAGGGTTGGTGTTTCCAAACGACATTTTCATTTATGATTCCGGTCCCATTAACTTATGATTAGGTATGCTATTATATATTATAATTACTACGATAATTAGGAAATCTTCCTATTATATTTTTACGCAAAAATCCATCACGTTCAAAAAATCGGATTTTTCTTCTTTTGGTCAGGCCAAAAGTGTTTTTATATTTTTTCTCTTGACCTCGCTCTTTCTCACGAGCAGATGAACATATTTCCGTGTATAAATAGTTCTATGCATTTTAAAAGCACATTTCATTGAGTAATTTAGGTCGCTATCTCGTAAAACAACGGTAGGGATCTAGAGATCCTCATACGCTTTACTTTTACATTTGTCGGACATGTTGACATATTTTTTCTTCTGCTGTTATTTCCTTAGGAACATTGTAACTATTTAATGGGAAACCCTTTATGGACGAGCTC